CAGTGTTTTTAAAGTGCAATCATCCGTTCATTGAGTTCTAGGACTCAATTTCAATCTCATAGTAGCTCATCAGTGGTGCTTATCCACCCTTCTGTCTGAAATTTTAACTCATGAAGCATCACATGAAAGGTTTATCTATGAACACTACGCCAACCGATGCTCACCCTGGCTGACGTGCATTGCGGATGCAAAAATATTCAGCTGTCATTGCCAGTGGTAATCGGTCGCTTGTTGGCTCGAAATCCCCAAAGGGAGACTCATTATGAAAACAGGTTCACTCTAACTGACTTCCTCCATCAGACCAGACCTTCTAAGCTGGTTCAAGTATCCTATCCATGCTCAATTTGTATTGCTGGATTCAGTTTTCATTTTCATCTCACAGCTACTCATGAGTAGTAGTGCACTCTTTTTGAAAACCTCCTATGAGATGCAATTTCAGATGTACAGGCTTGGAGAGATCAAATTTAAAACAATAATGTGGAAGCGATTTGTGGGATACCACAATTTTCAAGCTTTGCCTCAAATTACCGCTGAGCTTTGAAAAACAACGCATGGTAGAAAACAACATTTTTCCTTGTAACCTAATACATAAGGGCGGGATTTACGTTGTTTATGACCATTTTTTATGGCCAACTCATTGAATTTCATCAATGTAAATCTCTTTTGGTTTTGATGAGCCACTGATTGTTTATTAAGTTCTTCAGAGTTTTAGAATAGAAACAAACAGTTTTTGCTTCCAGTCACGGGGGCGAAATACCGTTCAGTTTGTTCTATCACATTTCCTCCAAGGCCATGCACCGATTTCAATTGCTGATGTGACTGGTTGGTTGAGAAGGAGGTTGCGATAAACAGTGAGCATGAAAACAAGCCTTGGAGAAATACATGACTATTCTTATTGTGCGTGAATACCTCTATTTTGACCCATATCGTTTGCAGCACTCTCAGCCAAACAAAAAACAACAAGGTGAAACGATGGCGGAAAACAGCATAATGTTTATTTTCGGATTTGTTTGGGGTCAGACATGCGATTACTGTTAGCTTTGTTTCTCAGTTTCCTGTAAACAAAAAAAGCAGACTTTGCTAAGGACGAATTCTGCCCCTCTGGTCAAGCATTGCACATGATGAACGGTAAACCCAAATCGATTTCACCGTTGTGCGAGTAATTCTGTTTTTGGTTCATTTCTAAGCGTGTTTTGTTCAGTCTCTTTAGGGAAATCTACTTATGCGAGTGGGAACATCCCGCATCTCGCGAAATGCCCGCATACGACCAAGCGTCTCAAAGAGCCTGTGCCAAGGAAGCTCTCCTCTCTATCTTCTCGTGACGGAGGTGCTTTCCTACCGAAGTGAGAGGACGAAAAACCGACATCCGGGGCTATAACCGGGTTGGTAGACCACTGATCTAATGGACTGGACACCGGCCCTCTGATGGATTGTGGTTTGGACAACCGGGCAGTATTCGGTCCACATGCTGTGGTGACCCGGTGGTAACGCCAAATTATCCCCACCATTAGCACCGCCTTACCCCCCATTTTGTGTGTTGAATAACTGCCCTCTGATTGTCCGCTTCTCCATTCTTGAAAATTGTGTCTTGAGATATTGGATCAAAAGAAATAAAATGTAAGAAGTAAAAAGAAAAGAAATATGGAAAAAGAAATCATAGAACGTTTTTCTTTCTTATAAAGATTATTGCACCATGATTTGTTTGGTACACAGTCTGGATTCAGATG